GACAAGCAGAGTCAGTTTTGAGAAGCTTTTGTAGTCAAACAGTGGCCACAGTGATGTGCCTTTGTTGTAACCAATGTAAATATTACTTACTGTACAGATTAGATGGCAGCACATTTTATTTCTTTACTTTCAAGCTTTCTAAACCTTGTATTAAAGAATAATTGCAATTTATTACATCATGGGTCTTATTCTTGTGGTTTTGGCCGTCATCTCTGTGAGGTGATTGATTGGCAAGATTGGTGAGATCTGGTAATGTAGTGACATTGCTACAAGTCCAACAGGGCAGTAATAGTGTTCAGAGCCCTGTTTCAGAGGGTGGATTTAGTGAAAACTCTGGGTTAGTTAACCTTGAGATGAGGAAAACTCTAGGTGTTTACTTCCAGAAAGAGGCAACTCAAACTCTGGCTCAGTAAGGATTATCTCAAGTTGCCGCTTTCATGCCTGTCAGTCATTTCTTTGGACAGCAGTTTCTGCCCTCACATTTGAGTTTTATACAGCGCCAGGTCCCACTCAGCTCAGAATCAAACCTTCACATGCCTACTATTTTTATCACACTGCAGACATCTGTCAGTCTGTTACAGCAGGTCACTCATGTGTTTATTACACATACTGTCATAGCAGTCTGAATTGTAAAAATCAATATGAAGCTTTAGACATGTCTGATCAATGAATAATTATATCAGTCATGATGTGATTACCGTAAAACTTCAATTAACAGCCTAGTCCCAGTTAAACGCCCAGTCCCTTTTACAAGCCCGGTATGATTATACATTTTGACAAATAAAGGCTTGTCTCAATGAGACGCCTGGTCTTGTTGCCAAGTAGTTAATTTTTATTTAAATTCTTTGGATGCATAAAATCAGCTTCTTGGCTATTTAAATTGAATATGGAGATGCTACACATCATTAGCTAAGTTAGATTCTCTACTATACAATTGCTCAGTTCAATTTACTGAAACCATGAGCACCAGAGAGGACTGTAATTCATTCAGATCTACTGGCATGATGAATTAAAAATGGTGACTCAATTCCTCTAAAGCGGTCACAAAGTCAGAATATGTGTCCATTCCTTGATTACCTGGTAATTTTTTCATATTCCTTTAGTCCGTAAAGGTCCACTGATCGAAAGAATCAAAGGGGTTTTTCATAAGAATAATCCAAATTGTGAATATTGTTTTAACAGGATAAAGTTAAAGGATTACGCTCGAGGATTATGGCACTCAACATACTTACCCAGCACCACTTTTCAGTGTCAGAAGGCTCCCTCTCTCTGATGCCATGTGTGTCGGAGCTAGATTAAATTAATGATTTGTTATTGATATGTTAAAACAAGCCCAATTTTAGTAGTGTTCATAGTAGTTTAAATAAACAAATTAATAGTGTATCCCATCTTTGCTGAGCAAAAGTTTTGCATAAAAGGAATGAAAGGCACCTCCATATAGACACCTGTCCCAAATATAAGCCTGTTGACTTCAATCAATTCAGTCAATCAAATTTATTTATAAAGCCCAATATCACAAATCACAATTTGCCTCACAGGGCTTTACAGCATACGACATCCCTCTGTCCTTAGGACCCTCACAGCGGATAAGGAAAAACTCCCCCAAAAAATGTCTGTAACAGGGGGGGAAAAATGGTAGAAACATCAGGAAGAGCAACTGAGGAGGGATCCCTCTTCCAGGACAGACACATGTGCAATAGATGTCGTACAGAACAGATCAACATGATAAATGAACAGTAATCCATATGACACAATGAGACAGAAAGGGAGACAGAGAGAGATGCAGGACAGATGGTAATGACAGTAGCTTACAACAGCAATAATGAAAGTAATAATATAATTAATATTACAGGCTATTTTAGTACAATATGTTGAAAGTATATATTAATATCTGATAGTATACATATGTGGCAATAATCATATGTGTATAATAACAGTAGAAGTAACTAATGATATGATGACTAATGATAACAGCAGCAGCAGGAAGCATCTGGCAGGACCACGGCAGCAGCACAACCACACACGTCACACTGTCCAGGCACCACTGCGATATAAGTTAACCTGCGAGACAGTGGAGCACAAAGGCTCTGGAGAAGAAGCCGAGTTAGTGACAACTATGTCTTCAGATAGTCTCTGAGTTGTTTGGGGCCAAGAACAATAACTTCAGTTTTGTCTGAATTTAACATAAGGAAATTTGTGCTCATCCAGGTTTTTATGTCTTTAACGCAATTATGAAGTTTAGTTAATTGATTAGTTTCTTCTGGCTTCATCGATAAATACAATTGCATATCATCTGCATAACAGTTGAAATTTACAGAGTGATTTCTAATGATGTTACCTAAAGGAAGCATATATAAAGTAAATAGAATTGGTCCGAGCACAGAATCTTGTGGAACTCCATAACAAATTTTAGTACATAAGGATGATTCATTGTGAACATTAACAAACTGAAAATGATCAGATAAATAAGATTTAAACCAGCTTAGTGCAGAAACTTTTAGGCCAATTAAATGTTCCAGTCTCTGCAGCAGAATTTGATGGTCAGTTGTGTCAAATGCCGCACTAAGATCTAGTAAAACAAGTACAGAGACAAGTCCTTTGTCTGAAGCAATCAAAAGATAATTTATAATTTCAACTAGTGCTGTCTCAGTGCTATGATGCACTTTAAATCCTGACTGAAATTCTTCAAGTAAATTGTTATCTTGGAGAAAATCACACAGCTGGTCTGCGACTGACTTTCTCAAGGATCTTTGAAAGAAAGGGAAGACTAGATATTGGTCTATAGTTGGCTAACACCTCTGGATCCAGGGTGGGCTTTTTTTAGAAGAGGTTTAATTACAGCAACCTTAAAAGACTGTGGTACATAGCCTGTTAATAAAGATATATTGATCATGTCTAATAAATGAGTGTTAACTAAAGGTAAGACTTCCTTAAGTAGCCTAGTTGGGATGGGGTCACGTTGATGATTTAGATGAAGAAATCACTGCGGTCAATTGTTTAGGAGAAATCGGGGAGAAGCAATCTAAATATATATTAGGTCTTACAGCTGTGTTTGAGGGCAGATAGATACTATCTGAGGACAGGAGATTATGAATTTTGCCTCTAATAGTTAGAATTTTGTAATTAAAGAAGCTCATAAAATCATAACTGCTAAGGGCTAAAGGAATACAAGGCTCAATAGAGCTGTGACTCTCAGTCAGCCTGGCTACAGTGCTGAAAAGAAACCTGGGGTTGTTCTTATTGTCTTCTATTAAAGCTGAGTAATAGTTTGCTCTGGCATTGTTGAGGCCCCTCTTTTACGTTTTTAGACTGTCTTCCCAGATTAAATGTGATTCTTCCAGTTTGGTTAATCGCCAATTCCTTTCAAATTTTTGCGATATTTGTTGTAACTTACGGGTTTCAGAGTTATACCAAGGAGCGAACTTTCTTTGCTTTCTTAACTTCTTTTTAAGAGGTGCTACAGAGTCGAGTGTTGTTCGCAGCGAGCCTACAGCGCTATCGACAAGATGATCAAGTCAGTACGGGAGACCTCTGTTACTGAAGGACATGGTATTAAATTCAACGACGGAGGAATCATTTCCTTAAATTTTGCGACAGCACTATCTGATAAACATTTAGTATAGTAACTGTTGCTGAGTGGCGTGTAATCGAGTAAAAAGAAATCAAAAGTAATCATATAATGATCTGATAGTGAGGGATTCTGTGGAAAGACTGTTAGGTTATCAATTTCAATTCCATATGTCAGAACTAGATCGAGGGTGAGTGGGTTTATGTACACTCTGACTGAAGCCAGTGGAGTCTAATAGTGAGGTAAACGCAGTACCCATCCACAGTGGGTACAGTAGGTTTAAGCTGGAGCAGGGTTTGCTGTGTTAACTGTGATTGATGTTTACAACATGCAGTTTGGGTCATAATTTTACATTCTCTTCTAAAGAGGTTGGAGTAACCTGAAGTTTTGTTTCCACCCTGTGTGATCACCGTCATCGGATTGCTGATCTCTACTCACCCATCAGGCTTTTTTTGTCAGCAACTTGGTGTTGCTGCAGTGTATAAAAATCACTTGGTGAGTGTAATGTTTTTTCACTGATATGAATGTTGACTAAAACTACAAAAGTAAGCCTGAAGTTGTAATAAACTGGAATCAGTCATGAATGGACACTTCTACTGTCCAGCCTCCATCTTCTCAATAGATAGTTGAGGAACAATGGATAATAATAAACATTAGCGAGGTCTGGCTCTTACTCCAGATCTGATCATTTCTGCTAATGATCCCTCCTAATACAAAGTGTGGAAACCCCTGAAAACACAGATATTCCAATATTCCAAGAACTACTGTTTGTCTGCAAACATGCTTCAGTTTATTAACTGATTTGGAGCTTGAGGGACTGACTGAACGGTTAGCATCTGATTCTGGAACCCTGACTTTAATCTGCAACCCACTGGAATATATCACACACAGTCATGCCTGGCTTTAAAGTAAGATGTAATGAGGTTGTGCTTGTTTGGACCACAACTCATGGCTTAACATCTCTCATCCTTCTCTTTTTTTTTTTTCTCTTTTTTTCTGATTACTTCCAGTTTTCATTCTTCACGTGCAGAGAGGAGACTGTTGGGTTCCTTGTCTTGCTCTTATTTTCTTGTCTGTCTTGGGCTGTAACTGTAGTAAGAACCTTTCTAGCTCTTGTTACAGCCCAAAATGATTGATTGTTTCTAAGTCTCTCTTCATATGTCTTCCACCACTGTCCCTCCTTCTGAACCTGACATCTTTTACTATTTTGACCACGTCCTGTGGCTTATCCCACTCTCCTCTGTTTCTCACATTGATACATGTATATTTTGTTCTTGTCATTATTCCCTCCTTTGCTCTTAAATGTACTGAAATCCATTTCAATATATTTTCTTTCCTTTGCTCAAACCTTTCTCTTCTGTTCCACATTTCCCCTTTGTTCCCCCTTCCGTTGTCTTCCCTTGTTCCCTCCATCTCCATCATCTTGTCACAGGTTGTGAGTCAGCGTTTCCCACAGAACAGCATTGGTGCAGTGGGCAGCGCCATGTTTCTGCGCTTTGTCAACCCAGCTATTGTATCTCCCTATGAGGCAGGCATCTTGGACAAGAAGCCCCTCCCCAGGATAGAACGGGGTCTCAAACTCATGTCCAAGGTAAGGCTGGTGGATTGGATGGTTTTGTGATGCAGCTGACTAGAGGGAAACTTAGTGAGGCTTTTGAAACTGAAAATTAAGCCATACTATTGTGTGATTGTGTTGAAAAAAATAGTCAAAGGTATGAAAATGTGTAAACAAATCCAAGCCATGTAGTCTAGCAGGAGAAATCAGTTCCCATGTACCTGTGTAGCAGTTTTTTTGTAACCTTGTTTTTTGGGACCCTAATGGTGTTGATTTAAGAATTTGTCTTGTTGTCAAGGTCAACTGATGGCCCGTGGGGTTCGTTTGGCAGCCATCTTGAATTGATGTCCACACTAATGGCGGAAAACGCAGATTTTCATAACTCCTGAACCAGACAACATACAAAGACAGATGAACCGACTTTTTCATATAACTTTGACACCAGAAATCAAATGGAAATGTCATTGACATGCTACAACTACCCTTATTGTTAAAAAACAACAACAGGCAAATGACACATTTCAGGCTCATAACTATGTTTTCTGTTTTGTTTCAAAGTAGTTTCCTGCAATAGTCAAATGTAAGTAGTTTATGATCTTATATCAGTCTCAAGGTTATTAAATAAATGAGGTCTGGTGCACCAAGATGAGTCAGTTTCGGGGTGATGGGGAAGACCTTAAACCAGACCAGGTACCTGCTGATGTGCCAATAATGCTGTTGAGTGTTAAGTGTGACTCATGTTAGATATGCTTTGAAGTTGTTGGTCTTCACAGAAAAGAGGAGTATGAAAATTAACTGCCTGCGGTACATGACAGACAACAAGAATGTAACTTTCTTGCCAAGATAACCCTTGCAGACTTTGTCTTGATACTCCAGATATTGCCTGCTGCAGATGAACTCCACAGGCTGGAGCAAGTGATTTTCAGTGTGAGAAGACTCATCAGCTTGTGCTTTGTATTAGGGCTGGGCATGTATGATGGATGGATGTATGTATGTATGTATGTACATATA